TTCGTCTTTAACCAGAGGTCACGGCCTTGTTACTCCCAAAGGCATTTCTGGTGCACCTTTTAAGATTTTCCCTTCAACAAGAAAGTCTTGCTTCACCGTCAAGGCTGTCCAAGCTGATAAAGTAAGATAACTAATCACCACTTTTCTTATTATCATGTTCTTGAATTTGACAACTTTTTTTTGAGATAAATTATAATATTCAGATCAGTTTGTACATGCCTCAACTAACTCAGCCGGGAGTCGAATCAGTAAATTTTATATTTGTGTCAAATAGATTCACTTAATATGTTCAATAATCTATTCAGAACCTAGTAACCAAAATACTAAGTTATTGTTTAGATCCCATAAATTTAAAATCTGTGATGTATCGAGTAATTCTGTCCACTGAGGCTAGGACAAATGGGAAAAGATCACCTATAGTTTGGATTTCTGTATGTTTTCTTTAGATAAGCGGCGGAGCTTAAAATTATTTAAATGCCACACCTAGATTTCAAACTAGCAATGTAAAATCAAGTTTCGAGAGTATGCCTTAATCTAATAGGCGGCATAGAGTTTCTAAGTGAAGGAACTATACATGGAACTAGCTTTTTCTAATCACCTTTTGCCATTACATAAAAAGTTTCTCTTGTGTAGAGAAAATTCAGTAATTTAATTCTTTGGCTATTGACAGGGCAAGGAATCTGAAAGGGGATTTGAAAAAAATACTCAAATGCCATACCTAAAGTTCATCTTATAAGAAAAAAATTTCTAACAAAATGTAAATTTTGGTTTGTTGGATCTGATTATTACTCAATAACTGTCCTTTGCTTTGTGTTGTTTTTCTTGATTCTGCAGCCAACTTTCCAAGTGATTCAGCCCCTTAATGGTGACCCTTTCATTGGAAGTCTTGAAACTCCAGTCACCTCAAGTCCATTGATTGCATGGTACCTCTCCAACTTGCCTGCCTACCGGACCGCGGTGAACCCACTTCTCCGGGGAGTAGAAGTGGGCCTGGCCCATGGATTCTTACTAGTTGGCCCATTCGTAAAGGCTGGCCCATTAAGAAACACAGAGTATGCAGGTAAAGTCAGACTTTAGAATTTTAACTTGATGAGTTTAATCTTTATAACTCACGGTTGATTCACACCATAGATGTCCCTAGTTTTTAAGAGTTGTGCAAATAGACAAAACATTAAACTGTCATCTAAACATCTACAAAATTTCAGACCATGGTCTAAAAGGGTCATTATTTCGAAATGTATGTATCTAAGTTCTGTGACGAAAATATTGTTACTATTATTGCAGGGGGAGCTGGTTCTTTGGCAGCAGCAGGACTTGTTGTGATCCTTAGTATGTGTTTGACAATTTATGGAATTTCATCATTCAAAGAAGGAGATCCATCAACAGCACCAGCATTGACATTGACTGGCAGGAAAAAAGTGCCAGATCAATTGCAAACTGCAGATGGATGGGCTAAAT